TTCACCAGGGCACCCCTAGACAAATGTCAGCCAATCAGGGGTCCTGAATCTTAGAAATCCCTCACCCCAACCTTTGCTATTATAAAAAAATCCATTATGCCCAGTTAACAAATCCATTTTAGAAAACTTTTCAATGTTCCATCTCGTGTGTCCCCCACCACGCCTTTTTTTTTTTTTTTTGTGGACAAGGTCTTACCCTTGCTGGCCTAGAACTCTCTATGTAAAGCAGACTGACCTCAAACTCACATAGATCTGTCTGTCTCCGTGTGCTCCCAGCTCTCACCTCTTTAAAAGATATTAGAAGCCAGGGTGGTAGCAGTGCACACCTTTAATCCCAATACTCGGGAGGCAGAGACAGGTGGATCTCTGTGAGTTGGAGGCCAGCCTGGTCTATAAGACCTAGTTTCAGGACAGGCTCCAAAGCTCCAGATAAAACCTGACTCGAAAAAACAAAAAATAAAAAATAAATTAATTAATTAAATTCTGAAAAATTAGAATCTATTTACTTATGTGTATGGGCTGCAGTATAGCAGGGTGTGTGCATGTAGAGGTCAGAAGACAGTTGATAGGAGGTGGCTTTCTTCTTCCACCACATGAGTCTCAGGGGTCAAAATCACGCCATCATGTTCGGTGGCATCTCAAGAGTCTAGTCTCATTTCCTAGTACCTCATAATGGTAGTTAAATTTCAACAAGTATTTCAAAGAGGGCAATCTGCATTCAAGCCATCAGAATATACTCCAGTTGACTTATCTCTTTTCCTTTCTTTTTTCTTTTCTTTTCTTTCTGGTTGTGTTTGTTTGTTTGAGACAGAGTTTCCAGGGTTTCCCTGTGTAACAGCCCTGCTGTCTTGGAACTCCCTCAATACACTAAACTGAACTTGGACTCTGCCTCTGTCTCGGAGTGCTGGGATTAAAGGTGTGTGTCACCATGCCCAGCCTTTTTTTTTTTTCCCTTTCTTTTTTCTTTTTTTTTTTTTTTTTAGAGGAGAAAAAACATATTTAATTTTGGGAGTATCACAAAAAGGGACCTGTCTCCAATGGACTTCATGCACTTACATGGGGCATGTCTCAACTCTGTGACATGTTATGCTGCTACCCTGAGGTTTGAGATGAAGATTCTGAAGCCGTTTGTCCAAATCACACTGGGTCTGCAGCCTGGCTGCCCACCATACACATTAGAGGCTCATTCCTAAAGTTGCTGTGTTAGGAGCATGCCGGAAGGTAGAGCCTGGAATGTGAGGTGGCTTTGGGGAGGTCAGTACTCCAGGGGAAGTAGTGTGTCCAGCTGTCTGTCCGTCCATCCATCACCGAGGGTAAAGGAATCCAACCATCAGGCAGGTTTCCATAATAACTGGGAAGAATCGGTTGTCATCGTGGACATAAATGTGACACAGACAGAGAAGTGACTTGAAACCTCCACACACCACTAACAAACACATGTCAAAATTTTGCTTCAAACTTGCTACAAGGTGGGAGGCGTTCTTAAAATAAAAAAGAGGGGCATAATTTTTTTTAAAAATAAACAAACATAAACCTAAGTAAAGGTCCTGAGCAATGGCTCAGACTTAAGAGTGCTTGCTGCTTTTGTAGAGGACCTGAGTCTCTTCCCAGCAGGCCACATCAAACTGTTCACGATTGCACCTAACCCCAGCTCCCAGGGCACTGACAGCCTCCTTTGGCTTCTGTAAGCACCTGAATGAATCAGGGCATACTCATAAATATAATATATAGTATAAATAATACATACACACACATATATGTATATGTGTTTATATATAAAACAAACAAACAAACAACAACAAAACCAAACAACTAAGGCAAAGATTTGTCTCTGGGCAGAAATGTTTTGTTTCTTTCTTTGTGAGTTGGTGTCATTGTAACCCAGGCTGGTCTAGAACCCACTAAATGTAGCCAAGGATGACCTTGAATTTTAGATCCTCCTGCCTCTAACTCCCAGGTGCTGGGATTATACCACACCCAGCGCATGAGCTGCTGGGAACGATCGCATGGTTTCATGCGTGCTAAGTGAGCACTCCACCAACGGAGCAATATCCCCAGCCCCGAGGAGACACATTTTAAAGGAGAAAGTATAAGGCAGTTTTGGACCATGAAGACTGAATTGGCAAAAGCTTAAAAGAGCACATAAATGGCTTCATACTGCTTGCATGTTGACCTGATACTATTTGTAATATATTTATTTAATTAAAATATGTTTTTAAATGGAATTACTGTGGGGTCCTTAGCTCACTCCAAATGGCCAGAGGACATCCGATAGGTAATTGCATAAAACAACTTTATTCTCGAAAAACCCAGCACTGGGGTGGGGAGGGTAGGATAAGGCAGACCCAGTTAAGTTTGCATAGGGGAATTCCAGGATGTTTAAGTGTACTTTGAAGTGATTAGGTATAAACCCTTAATATTACAGGAATCATTTTATGATTGGTTCACCATGTCTGGCCAGCTACGGTGGTTTCTGTGTCAAGGGTCTCTGTCTGTCTGCGGTGTCTGGGTCTGTCTGTCTGCGGTGTCAGGGGTCTGTCTGTGTGTCGGGGATCTATCTGTCTGCTGTGTCGGGGTCTGTCTGCCTGCTGCGTCGGGGGTCTGTCTGTCTGCTGTGTCAGGAGTATGCCTGTGGTGTCAGGGGTCTGTCTGTGGTGTCGGGGGTCTGTCTGCAGTGTCCAGGGTTTGTTTGACTGAAAATAGCAAAAAACAGTTCCTACTTGTGACAGGGTAGGACCCTGATTGGCTGTCAGACTGGACGTACTTCCTGAAGGTCTGGTTGAAGCCAGATGTGAGTCATCATAGGATGATGGGGTAATAATATGGGGCAGAGGTCTTAGCAAACTGTCTCCTGGAGCGGTGGGGGGGGGGGGAGCCACCTGACCTGGTCCTTTCAATTACACCTGTTTAAAATTTACCTTTTAAGAGTAGAGTCACTACAGGTGGATCTCTGTGAGTTCGAGACCAGCTTGGTCTACAGAGGGAGTTCCAGGACAGCCAAGGCTACAAAGAGAAACCATGTCTTGAAAAACTAAAAAATAAAAATAAAAACAAAAGAAGAGAGCCACTCACAGATATAGAGAGCCTATATCTGTGGCTCGTGTTAGTTGCTATTTCTACTGGACAGTGTTGGTTAGAGAATCATTGTTGGTTAGAGACACTTTTAAAAAGTAGGCAAGGAATGTCTAGTTAAAGGTTACCCAAAGCTTCCTAGGCCTGGTCAAAGGTCCTTGGACTTCTCCCAGTACCACAGGTGGCCAGGGGAGCATCCCCATAAAGGCTTCTTGAACCTGTAATACCTGTAATGCCAGAGACAGGAGGATCACAAATTCAAGGCTATCCTGTGCTACCTGGTGAGACCCTGTTTCAAAACAAAACAACAAAACCAGTATAGCAGAAAATTGCTCAAGCCTTTCGCTAGAAGACGAGGGTCCCATTCAAACCACAGAGTTCCACTCTCGTTGGGACTTGGGACAGTCTCTGGTAAATCTGTTGCCATTGGTTAGAGAAGGCCCAGAGATAAGCATTTTTAATTATACTTCCCACTGGGGCTTGACCTGCTGCTTCTCTGAGATTCAGCAGCATTGCCCTAGAAGCCCCTTGTGGATGGACAGATGTGAGTGAGCTCTTGGGAAGTGGGGGCAGAAGGATGAGGAGTTCAAAGTCATCCTTGACCCTGTTCTCAGTTTGAAACCAGCTTGGGCCGGATGTTAATGGCACCTGCCTTTAATCCCAGCAGGAGGCAGAGGCGGTGGGAGGCGGGAAATCTCTGTAAATTAAAGGCCAGCCTGTTCTACAAAGTGAGTTCCAAAAACCTTGTCTCAAAAAAACCAGAAAAGGGCTAGAGAGATGGCCCAGTGGTTAAGAGCACTGGCTGCTTTTCGAGAGGTCCTGAGTTCAATTTCCAGCAAACACATGGTGGCTCACAACCATCTATAATGAGACCTGGTGCCCCTTTCTGGCATGAGGGCACACATGGAAGGAATGCTGTATACTTAATAAATACATAAATCTTTAAAAAAAAAGAAAGAAAGAAAGAAAGAAAGGAAGGAAGGAAGGAAGGAAGGAAGGAAGGAAGGAAGAAAAAAAAGAAAACAAAACAAAAGCCCAAACTTCTTGGGTTACACAAGGCTTTGTCTCAAAAAAGGAAAAAAGGGGGCAGGAGGTTAGGGCTGGAGAGATGGCTCAGCAGTTAAGAGCATTCGACTGCTCTTCCAGTGGTTCTGAGTTCAAGTCCCAGCAACCATATGGTGGCTCACAACCATCCATAATGAGATCTGGTGCCCTCTTCTGGCAAGTAGAGATACATGCCGGCAGAACACTATACATCATAAATAAATGTTTTTTAAAAAGGAAGAGGAAAAAATGCTTGCTTAGGCTTTTAACCTTGGTAGCAGGAAACAGAGATGTGCCAAGAAGGGACTTCGAAATGCCCTTTGAGCCATGTGCTTAGGGAATGCCACTGAGAAAGCAGGGTCAGGGTCATGCTTGGTGTAAGGTCAGGGCCCTGCACGCTCCCTAGGGACTCTCATCGCCTCAGCCCACTTCCTCGTGTTAATGAGTTTTGCTCAGTGAGAGATGGGTGGACCTCTATTCTTGCTGTTTACCTGTCCTTTAAGAGAATTTGGTGGGAGGGGAATGAAAAATAACATACCTTTTCCTGCATTTTAGGTTAACATTTATAACTTTAAATCACCAATCTAAATTACAGATATGGGGCTGCTGCTCTTCCAGGGGACCCAGGTTCGAGTCCCGGAACCCACATGGTGGCTTACAACAGTTTGTTACTCCAGTTCCAGGGACTCTGATGTTCTCTTCTGGCCTTCCAGAGCACGAGACACTCATGTGGTCCAAAACAAAAATTTTATATCTTTGAATGAACAAAACCGCATAGCGTAGAGTCTCACTTCCGGTTCACCTTGCCGTCCTATATACTCTTGACGCGCCCGTGATTACTTGCAGCTGGAGGGGGAGGCAGTGATGGCTGGCGTTGCAGATGAGCGTCCCGTGACTCTCCCTTCTCTGCTTCTAATAGGAATGTGTCAGTGGCTCCCTTAAACTAGCTATCGCTGTATTTGTACTGCTCAAGTAGTTGCCATGGTAATCTCTGCAGCAAAACAGCGTTATGTCCTGAGGACAAAAGCCGTACTGTGAAAACAAGGTGCAGAATTCCACACTCCCAGCCTCTCCATTCTGTTCTATAGCCGACCTTGGCCCAGAGGAAAAAGAAAATGGGCTTTCAGTGCAGACAGATCGGGGTATGAATCCCCCGTAGTGGCTAATAGCGCTGAATTTGGGAAATAAACCTCTTGAAACATAGTTCCTTTTCCACCAACCAAGGCCAACAACTGCCATCCTTAGGGCCCTTGAGAGGATCAGATGAGATAAACCGGTGAAATGAATTGGACAGCATCTGGCATCCGACAGACCTCCAATTACTCCTGAATGTCGCAAGGTACAGAGGTAATTATTAATCTGTCTTTCCGCAATAGCTAGAGTGAAGAAAACGGGCATGACTCAGCAGGTGAAGTCGGTTCATGTGTTTGCCAAGGCAGAGCCTCCTGCCGGGAGAGAGGATGCTTTGCACTGCTCTGTGGGAAGGTCAGTGGGTGTTTACAAGTTGTAAACTATACAATTGAGTTTCGTGTTTATTCAGCGTCTGGGATGCCGGTGTTGAGGTCAGGCCACCCTGTCCTGGGTTACCCCATGATGTGTAAAGCAGTATTTTGTCAGGCCGTCTATTTTATCAACTTTTGACTCCATCTTGAGGATGGAGAATGAAATGAATAACGTTGATTGTCAACTTGACAGGGTCTAGAACCAGTTGGGAGCTGTGGGCCTCTGGGCATGTCTGTGGGGGGGGGGGCGGGTATCTTTTTTTCTTTTTTTCCAAGACAGAGTTTCTCTGTGTAATAGTCCTGGCTGGCTTCGAACTCACTGAGATCCACCTGCCTCTGCCTCCCGCATGCTGGGATTAAAGGTGTGCACCACCACTGCCCAGCAAGGGGGATTATCGTGATAACATTAATTGAGGCCGGAAGCCCTGTCCATTGCGGGTGTCACCACTTCCTGGCTGGGGTCCTGGGCTGTATAAGAGGAGAAAGGGAGCTGTCATGTGGTCGTTCATCACTCTCTGCCTCCTGATTATGGATGGGATGTGACTAGCTGCAGCTTCAATCTACCGTTGTCTTGACTTCCCTGCCCTAGTGGGCTGTATCCTTGAATCCTGAGACAGAACAAAACCTTTCTCCCTTAAGCTGTTTGGTCAAATGATTTTCATACCAACAAAAAGAAAAGAAATATAAGACAGCTGATAACTGCGGGCCCGAGTGGCGCCCCCCAGAGGTACTGACAGATGGTTATTCTTGGAAGCAGAGAAGGTGCCATCTTAGAAATTTATTGGGGTGGGGCTGGAGAGATGGCTTAGCGGGTAAGAGCACCAACTGGTCTTGCAGAGGACCCAGGTTCAAGTCTCAGCACCCACATGGTAGCTCACAACTGTCTATAACTCCAAGGTCTGACTTCCTCACACATACATGCAGGTCAAACATCAAGGCATATAAAATAAAAATAAATAAATAAGTAAAAGAACATTAGAAACATTCATTGTGGTGAATTGGGACTGTAGGGGTGCATAAGTATATTTAAAGCATCTCAAGAAAACCAAGCCTGCTAGGGCATTTGTCAGACACATCATCTTTAAGAAAGATCACTCCTTTCCCCTCCCCCATAAAGAGGTGGACACCTAGTATTGCAATGGCTGTCAGACTCCCTGACCTGCCATCTGGCCACATGGTGCCTGTATCAAGGGACCAACTGGTAGAGACTCCTGGCAGTTCCAGGAGCTTCAGCTCAACTTGGTCCTGTTGTTGACCTGAGATTTGACTCTTATCTCTATTTACTCTGTCCAGTTGATTGTCACGTTGTTATAATTGACCTCATCAACATTTCTCCAAGTCACCCCTTCCATCTGACGTCTGCCTCATGTGTATTATTCAATGTTTTTTTTTTAAAGAAATAAACAAGCTGGGCGGTGGTGGCCCTCACTTTTAATCCCAGCACTTGGGAGGCAGAGGCAGGTGGATCTCTGTGAGTTTGAGGTCAGCCTGGTCTACAGGAGCTAGTTCCAGGACAGGCTCCAAAGCTACAGAGAAACCCTGTCTCAAAAAAAAAAAAAAAAGAGGGCTGGAGAGATGGCTCAGAGGTTAAGAGCACTGGCTGCTCTTCCAGAGGTCCTGAGTTCAATTCCCATCAACCACATGGTGGCTTACAACCATCTATAGTGAGATCTGGTGCCCTCTTCTGGTATGCAGGTAGAATACTGTACACATAATAAGTAAATAAATAAATAAAATTTTTTAAAAAAAGAAAGAAAAAAGAAAACAAACAAAAAACAAGATTTTTTTTTGAAATTTAGAATAGGAGTTTTTGTTTGTTTAAAAATATTTATTTATTATGTATTAAATTATTATTTATTATGTATACAATATTCTGTCTGCATGTATGCCTGCAGACCAGAAGAGGGCACCAGACCTCACTACAGATGGTTATGAGCCACCGTGTGGTTGCTGGGAACTGAACTCAGGACCTTTGGAAGAGCAAGCAATGCTCTTAACCACTAAACCATCTCTCCAGCCCCTGTTTGTTTGTTTTTTTAAAGGGAATTAGGCCTCATGCCGTGATCTGCAGTCCGGAGAGTCAGAGAAGTGAGGAGCACACTCAGTCCAGGGGCTGCAAAACTAGCAGCCAGCAGTGCAGCCGGCTGAGAAGCTGGAGTCTGGAAGCGTCACATGTCGCTCCAGACGGCAGTGCCAGAGTTTCCCCTTTTCCTTTCCTGTTCTGCTTGGTCCTGGCAGTTGGGTGGTGCCTGTCCCCATTGAGATAATCCACACACTGATCTCTGGAAACACTCTCGCAGACGCAGACATACCGGGCACTCTTCAACCCAGGCAAGCCCGCACTCCAAAGTAACCATCACACCTCGACCTGCTCAATCCCCTGCTGCTGTTTCACCTTGTTATAGATCAGGTTTCTATTCTTATGTTCTTATGAATGTAACCATTTAAAAGACAATAAACACGTTATTCCAATTGTTTCTGTAGGTGTCTGCGTGAGCATCTTAGCTTGGGTGGCTCAGGCTCAGAATGCTTTCAGTGTTGGGGTTGCGCCATCAGTGAGGACAACAGTCGGTTATCAGAGTCTGCCTTCAAGCCCATGCATTCTTCTTCTTGTTGGCTACTGGCTGCAGGCTTCAGTTAGTTTTACCATAAATTACCTTGTGGCAGGTGGATTCTCCTCAATCAGGGTGTGTGTGTGTGTGTGCACGCACGCGTGTGTTTGCGTGTGCACACACATGAAAAAAAGAGAGAGGGGGAGGTCTTTTTTTAAGTTTTTTTTTATTTATACATTTTTTAAATCGATCTTTATTGAGCTCTACATTTTTCTCTGCCCCTCTCCCTGCCTCTCTCTTCCCTCCCCACTTCAATCCTCCCCCAAGTTCGCCATGCTCCCAATTTACTCAGGAGATCTTGTCTTTTTCTACTTTCTACTTCCCATGTAGATTAGATCTATGTAAGTCTCTCTTAGTGTCTGCATTGTTGTCTAAGTTCTCTGGGATTGTGGTTTGTAGGCTGGTTTTCTTTGCTTTATGTTTAAAAACCACCTATGAGTGAGTACATGTGATAATTGTCTTTCTGTGTCTGGGTTACCACACTCAAAAATGTTTTCTAGCTCCATACATTTTCCTGCAAAATTCAAGCTGTTGTTATTTTTTTCTGCTGTGTAGTACTTTTTTTTGTTTGTTTTTGTTTTTTGTTTTTTGAGACATGGTTTCTCTGTGTTCTGTGTTACCCTGGCTGTCCTGGAACTTGCTCTGTAGATCAGGCTGGCCTTGAACTCAGAGACCCCCCCTCCCGCCTCCCAAGTGATGGGATTACAGTCATGACGAAAGGTCTTTGTTTTAAGCTGTCCACCTCATATATTTTCTCAGAGCTGACTAAGAGAATGCTAAACCTCAGTAACACAACAGTCGGTCTGGTGTTGAGGGATGTTTGAACACTGTGGGAAGAGGTATTGCTGTGGTTGGTGCAATAAAAAGCTGAATGGTCAATAGCTAGGCAGGATGTTTTGGTGGAGCTTCTGGGCAGAGAGAGAACTCTGGGAAGAAGAAAAGGCAGAGTCACCAGCCAGAGGAAGCAGGATGTGCAGGAGGAGAGGGAACAGCCACGAGGCTTGTGGCAGCACGTAGTTGAATAGAAATGAGTTCATTTAAGCTGTAAGAGGTAGTTGGGAACAAGCCTAAACTTTAGGCTGAACTTTTATAATTAGTAAGAACTCTCCATGTCACTATTTGAGAGTTGGCTGGCTGGACAGCCTTAGCGGTAGATTCAAGGAAGAGTAGATAATTAAATTGAAAACACAGAGACACTAGGAAATATTTGATAGTGCTTCTAGAAAGGATCAGAGAAGGGGGGGGGTCAACGGAAGGGTCTGGAGAGAGGGCTCATCAATGGTAAGCACTTGCTGTTCAGGCTTAAGTTTGCATCCCAGCACCCATGTAATAACCATGTAACAACCATGTAACAAGCCATGTGACCCACGCACACCTGCCACCCTGGCTCCACAAGTGATAGAGATGAGGGTCACTTGAGCTTTCTGACTTCCAGCCTAGTTGAGAAAACCCAATCCTCAGGTTCAGGGAGAGAGAGACCCTACCTCAAAGGAACAGATGGAGTCTGACAGAGGAGGGCTCTTGATACCCTCTTCTGGTTTACTCATGTGCACACAGGATCACACAAGAACAAACACGTGTTTATACACTATTGCAGAGATACATAAAAATAAACAAATTGGGAAAAAAAAGAAACTTCAGTGGAACTCGGGAGTGGGTAGCATACACCTGTGATTTCAGAATGTCGGGGGGCTGAGGCAGGAGGATAATGAGGTCAGGAGGAAGAGGAGGAGGAGCTGATGAAGCAGGCTGGCCCCAGAGTGAAGGTTCCTGTAGGAAGCAGAGGCCAACGCTGGAAATTTATAGACTCTAAACTAATCTAAGCCTACAGCAAAGTAATCTAAATCAACCCAAGGCAGCTAAGCCTGTCTGTAAAATAATCACTTATATTAGCCAGTACATAAACCCCCTTTTTTTCTATGCAGAACTGAAGTGAGCCAAGTGCCTTGTGCGTTCTGGCAAACACTATCACTGAGCTATGTTTCCACCTAACACATAAACCGGATCATGTTATCTTCTTACACAACACCTTGCGGCTTCTAGTAACCTCCCTGGTAGAGCCCAGGGTTCGTAGCATGCCCTAATTAGAGCCACAGCTATCTCTGCCTCCCATTTCTTTTAACCTTGTTTCTGGTTTTGAGCTTATTATACCTTCTGTCTTTGACCAGTGTGGTGGTGCACACCTTTAACCACAGCGATTGGGAGGCCTAGGGAGGCAGATCTCTGTGGTTTCCAGGCCAGTCAGGGCCACGCAGTGAGACCCATCTTAAAAAACAAACTAACAGCCGGGCTGTGGTGGTGCACACCTTTAATCCCAGCACTCAGGAGGCAGAGGCAGGCGAATCTCTGTAAGTTTTAGGACAGTCTGGTCTACAAAAGCTAGTTCCAGGACAGGCTCCAAAGCTATTAAAAAAAACCCTGTCTTGAAAAAACAAAAACAAACAAACAAAAAAAAAACTAGCAAACCCAAACAAATCTCAAACTTATACTCTGCCCAAGAGGGACATTGACGGTGAGTTTGTGAGGTTTAGTCACCCATAAAACAGTAGAAGCCACGAGCGAGATGACCATACTCTACCTCATCAGGATAGCTTAGATACCTAAGACGTAGGTCCAGAGGTTGGACCAGTTTTATCTGCTAATGAGATCCAGGCCTCTGGCAGTTATGGATGTTTTGTCTGCATGTACATGTGTATGTCATATACATGCAGTACCCACAGCGGCCAGAAGGGGGAAGGCAGATCCCTTGGAAGTAGAATTATAGACAAGTGTGAGCCACCATTTAGGTGCTGAGACTTGAATCCTGGCCCTGTGTAAAAGCAGTAAAGGCTTTTAACCACTGAGCCAGCTCTCTAGGCCTTTATTTTGTTTTTGAGACAGTCTCATTATGTAGCCCAGGCTGATCCGGTACATTCTATGTTGCCAAGGCTGGCTTTGAGCCTGCACCAATCCTCTGGTCTTTTCACAAGTACTGGGATTGCACACCTGCTCCAGCCTGCCCAGGTTTAGTAGGCCATTTCTTCTGGAGTAAATGTAGCTCATGGGTGGATAGACTGATTTATTAACAGATAGGGTGAATGAATGAAAAAAAATAAAATAAAAGGGAAAGGAAAGGACATGACCGCGCCTAGATATGGTAGAGGAGAAAGTTTATTGTAGATAGATGGGAGAGTGTAGTCTGAGGTGGGGACATCTGGGAGAGTCTAGAGTGGACATGCCCAGACTGAGCTGTGCCACAGGGTGGAGAGAGGAAAGGGAGGGGACCAGGTACGGCAGTTAGGTGCCCAAAGGTGCAAAAGGGGCAGGTAACCAAAATGTCTGGATTCTTTAGGGAAGAGTCTCTGGGAAAAGGACAGCCCAGCCCCTGGGCTGGAGAGTTCAGGGTAAAGGGTGGTGCATTCCAGTCATACCGTGTAACAGGTAGGGACTGAGGGATGCCGGGAGAACCTGGTGGCCAGGTCCTCTTTGCTAGTTAAATAGGCACCTCAGTCATTTACCCCTGATCCTAGAAACTCTGTGAAGGAAAGAAGGATTTAGACCTGGGCCCGGGCTGGCAGGTCTGCAGGACTCACACTAGGAACTAAATCAGGCACTGCTATCCGAAGCTTCCTTCTTGATATCAAAGATGGCATTAATTCAGCAGTTGATCCGTCCTAGTGTTGACCAGCAAGGCGAGCGGAGGTTAGAGGGCAGCTCTGGAGGGCGACTCTTTGGATAAAAAGAACAGTTTCTTGGGTATGTTGCAGAGGGGCAGCAACTGGGCAGTAGCTACGGCACTGCCTGCAGCACAGGAAAATGGGGCTGGACTTAAATGTGTAATTTGATATTTGTATTAGACATCCACTTAGAACTCGGTTTCAACGAGGAACCATTTACACACAATAAAATGTACCAATTCATGCGTGCTTAAACGTTCGGATCAAATTCACCCCCAATTTCTTCCCCTTTCATCTCCAATTCCTTCAACACCCTGCCCACTTTTCTTCATATGAACTCTATCTCTATATCTGTATCTGTATATATATACACACACACATACATGCACATATCCATATATATACAGACACACATATGTGCATACACGATCTATATATTGCCCTCTCCCTCTCTCCCTCCCCCTCCCCATTATGTCCACTTAGTGCGGTCTGCATGTACCTGTATGTGTATGTGAGACTGTCTACAGGAGCGTGTGAGCCACTTCAGGAGCTGCATCCCTGAAAAAAACTTACTTCTCCTTCAGCAGCCACCGATTACCAATCACTTCTCTCTCTCTCTCTCTCTCTCTCTCTCTCTCTCTCTTTATTTTTAAGCTTTATTTATTTTTATCTTATGTGCATTGGCATTTTGCCTGCATGTGTGAGGGTGCCAGATCACCTGGAACTGAAGTTACTGTCTGTAAAGACAGTTGTGAACACCGTATGCTTGCTGGGAATTGAACTCAGGCCCTCTGGAAGAGAAGTCAGTGTTCTTAATTGCTGAGCAAACCCCAGCCCACCAAATCACTTCTCAGCTAGGGATATTTTGGGAGTTTTATTTTGTTCTGATTTTATTATAAGACAGAGTCCTGCTGGGCGGTGGTGGTGCACGCCTTTAATTCCAGCAGTCGGTAGGCAGAGGCAGGCAGAACTCTGTGAGTTCAAGGCCAGCCTGGTCTACAAGAGCTAGTTCCAGGACAGGCACCAAAGACACAAAGAAACCCTGTCTCAAAAAACAAACAAACAAAAAGACAGAGTCCCAGATGGGTCAGTGGTTACGAGCACTGGCTGCTCTTCCAGAGGTCCTAAGTTCAATTCCCTGCACCCACATGGTGGCTCACAAGCATCTGTAATGTTATTTGGTGCCCTCTTCTGCTCTTCTGGCCCGCA